CTGTACATCTAGGAGTCAACGGGAAGGTTGCTTGTGTGGCAATTCCCATTGGAGAGATATAATGTGAAGCCCCTAGGTCCGCCCTTGTTTCTTCCCTTAATACATAGGACTACAGCACGGGTGTATGTAGCTCCTTGTGCTATGGCCTACGGGTACCCTTTTAAGACCTGGTCTATCTAGAGGCTTCCTAAACACTTAAATGTGATTCAGATGAATCGCGAAAAACTGCTCGGTCATAGAACGATCCATGTTCGAATCATTCTGCTTGTTATGAATCCTTACTTGTTTACTTGTTGACATTGTCTCTTGATTGATTCGTTTTCAGGCACAAAATCAAAAATCGCAAAGAAAGAGTGCCATCATTTTATTTCGATGCATTAGAATTGGGAAACTATTGGGGATGCGATGGTCAACCAATAAGGTAAATTGGGAATTTACTATTTTCTGCTTAGTTTTTTATTCAAGGTGGTTTCACTCGGTAAACAAATAGGCAACGGTCATCCATTCTCGGGGTACGCCATGCATTTGATGACCAATGTCGAGTGCCTTATCTACTAACAGTGCACCTTGTTATGGGGTCGTTCATTATCCCATATGTACCCGATCTTGATCGAATCCCTTCAGAATTTTGCCCTGGTTAGCCAAGCCTCGTATAGAAATGATTGAGAGTAGAACGGAATATAGCGTTTAGCGATTCAGCGGCATATGATGCCTAGATGTGTTTCTACCCCTTTCCTCATGTTTTGTTTGATTCATCAGAGAATGGCTCCCGTCCTTTGTGACCGTAACCTCTGACTCTAAGCCTTCTTTCTTGGATAGGATAGGTGTCTCTTAAACTTATCCAGAATAATGCTTCTGGGACCTCCCAATACATAGTCTTATACCCTATGTGGAGTTTGAAGCTTCAATCTAACTGATGTAACGAAGTATTCAGCATTAGGCACCATCACATTTCCTACTTTTGTAGGTACCATCACACAGCACCCATTTCAAGCGTTTATGCTTTGCGTAGCGCACTGGCTGTAATAGCTGAAGAAGGCGTGGACGAAAGTGTGCGCAGACATGAAGAAAATGTAAAGTTCCTCTACCAGAAGTTGAAAGAACACGGTTTAGAATGCTTCGTTGAGCAAGAGGTTCGAGAAGATTCTTTTTTTTTCCTATTTCATTCAACTATCGCCTAGTGGGGTATCAAAATGACTGTTACCTATACTTTTTCAATGAAGAAACATTTCAAATGAACATCACTTACAGAAGTGGCGATTACCGTGCCTAACCACCGTCAAAGTGCCAGATGGTGTAGATTGGAAAGGTGTAATGGAAGAGATGATGAAACAGGGAACTGAAGTGGGTTGTTGGTTTATGGCCTACAGGTCTTTGGGCCAGCCATGTTTGCTATGGAGACCCTGGCTAACACAAAATATTTCAGATTGCCGGTGGTCTAGGCCCTACGGTGGGAAAATTATGGCGGATAGGAACGTTCGGTGGAAACTCGGACAAGGCGAAGATAGAAAAGGTTATAAAATTGCTTGCCGATACGATTAAAAAGAAGTCAAGTATATAATTGTTGTGTACTATTTACCTGGTTATAGTTAAGAGGTTCTAAGGCTTATACTATGCTCTGATTTCAATCATTTATCATACTTTGAAACTATTTATTCATACATAGATACTGATGAGAATTGTTGCGGGCCCTATCTGACTTATCGATTTCATTTTCTGTCGAATAAAATATTTCCTATAAATCTTATAGTTCATAGCAGA